CAGGAATGCTGGGATGAGAAATGTTTTGGAATCAATCTATCGAACAACCCCTGAGACAGACACACAGGGCTGGGAGGAGCATCGTCCTGAGGGCTGGAGGACTTGGTGCTGAGATGATGCTTCAGACACAGAATGAGCTCTGGTTTCTGGTTCAGATATATGTGTGTGCAGACACCTGGGGAGGGGATTCTCACCCACTCACGTCCTTTCCCCTCTGCACCAGCAGGCAGCCTGCAAGGGGATGGGCCGAGGGCTGGATTAGAGAGCAGTGGGCGGAGAGGACCAGCTGTGACAGACACACGTTCGTTTCCAGAAATCGTTGATTGCCTCCAGCCCAACCCTCTTAGCCTCACCTTCTGGACCAAAGTCTCATAAACCCTTAGGGACCAGCCCTTGAGAAGGTTTATGTGTTTGTAGGGAAGGAAAGCAGAGTTATCTCTGGCCTCACAGCCTCACAGACCCAGTGACACCACCCCACTGGGGACTTCAGGGCTGTGTCCCTCACCCCCAGCTCAATCCCCTCCTGATTCATGTGATGGTGAGCCTTGAGGGGAGGGGGGAGAACAAGAGCTTTGGAATTCTTGAATAAGTAAGAGGAATCAGTCAATTGATTTCTCTGTGGATTAGATTAAAAATTGCCAGGGCTGACGCTGGGGAGTTCTCCCTGCCCCGCCCCCCCCTTTTAAAGGGCCATACATATTGTATGGGGAACTGGGGAATCTAAAAGCCCAGTTTAAGGTCTTTGCTTTTGGAGTCTGACTGTGGCGGCAGTCACATTTTTAGTATCGTACCTTCACCCAATAGTCTGAAGCTGATTTCCCCCAGCTCCAGCCCAGGGAGGTACCCTGGCCCTGAGATGGGGGAGCCCCTTCTCTCCCCGACCCCAGGCTCTAGTCTCCAGGGAGTGGATGCTGCGTCGTCCACTGTCTGCTCTCCAGGTGGCTGTCACATCCTGCCCACCCCCCAGGCCGGAGGCAGAGAAAAGATGGGCTGGCGGGGGCAGCGCCCCAATAGAGCTGAGGGCATGGATCTGCCTGGCGCCCAATGCCCCCTTCGGGGGAGCGACTGGGGAGCTACTCAGTTAACTCCCAGACCAATAGCCTGAAGTACCACTATTTGCGTCTGCTAATGGGTCTCTGTCCCTTGGATCCAAAGGAGGCACTGGTTTGTAGAAGCCGCAGCCAGGAGAGAGTCATGGAGCTGCAGGAGAATGGGAGGTGGGGGAGGGGTGGGGAATCAGGCAGAGGGAGCAAGTTCTAAACAGAGAAGGGGCCAAGCAGGGGGGCAGTGATGGGGAGAGAGGAGCAGGCAAGGTGCAGGACAGCCACCTGGGGTCCTCCTTGGCTGGGGCTGAGCTGCCCCTCTATAGAAGCCAGAGCCTCTGTCCTGCCTGACGTGCATGGTGGGAGCCCTGGGCGATGGGAATGGCGAGCCCCTGAGGCCCAGGGCGTCACAGTCGCCTCTCCACCTCCACTCTCTGGCCAGGAGCAGACGCCTCTTGGGAGAAAAGCAGGGGAGGGGAAGGCAGGCCAGAGTGGCAGGTCACAGTTCAGACCTAGGGGCCTGGAGGAAGTGTGGAGATCACCAGGT